AAAAACTTTTTTCCAAGGTTCCTGGGGCACCTCGTTAGAACATGTGATACTTGCAGAATTTGGTACTTGTCCACAGTCACGTCACCCTCAGGCCAGCCCAGTCTGGGGGCCAAAGCTTGGCACCTCCCACACCCTCCATGTCTGCTGCAACTCAGTTGCAGTGCTCTGGGTGGGGTGCTTCCTGCCCATCCCCTTGTCAGTGAGGGAAATCCATGGTTCTCTCTGCTCTTGGAATCTTTTTCTAATTTTTTTTTAAAGGGAAAGGGGGATGGGACGTCCTTCTTTGCACTTCCGCCTAGCTCTGGAAGAGCAGAGGGTCCACCCGACTCCTCTACCATCCCCTCGTCAGAGCAAGGTGAAGGAGGTATGTGCTGGAACATTTGGGTAAGACGACACTTCTCTGTCAGTTCGGAAAGGTCAACCTGCAACCTGTACCCTACCCTAGAGCCCTAACCGGGGTCCTCCCTGGGGCCAACAAGCACCCCCATGTTGCAGCCCCCAAGTCACAAGTCCCCACCTACCCCCAACGACGTGCCAGTCCCTGGCTCTCTGGTTCTTGGGCCCTCCCTGACACCCCCTCATTCATTTCACACCGACCTGAAGTCTCCCAAATGCCCACACCCAGTGCTCATCTTTCTGTCATTTCTCTTCCCTTCCCTGGGTACTGAACGGGATCATATACCACTGTCACTTTGAGCAGGAGACCTTTAAAGGTTAGAGAGATTTTTAAGTTTCTCCAAATTAAAGTGGATATACAGGCCTTGTCCTTAAAAGTTTATATTCTGACAAATATGCCTTTGCATATATAAAGAAACCTTTAAATGCTGAAGGAAAGAAATACAACAAAATTTCTGTCAAATCAGGGTAACTCACATGCTGGGACAAATAAGATGAACTTCTACTCATCCTTCAAAACCCCAAATGGACATAACTTGCTGAAGGAAACCTGCCCTAAGCCTCCTACATGGGATTCATGAATCTCACAGAGTGACATTCATCCTCTGTACTGGCCATGGATTATGGGGCATAGTCCCCCTCACTTTTAACTGTCAATTTACTTGTCTATCTCTTCACCCCCAAACCCCCTTTTGTAAACTAACGTCTTGCATGACCTTGAGTCTGAGGCTGCAGGTACCAGAACGAAGTTGATGCCAAAGGGTGGCAGAGTCTTATAGGGCCTGGAACAGGGTTGGTGCTCAGAGTAACCTAAAAGCTAGATAATATTTGCTCCATTTAAAAAAAAAAAGATTTATTTATTGGGCAGGGGGAAGGGCAGAGAAAGAATCACAAGCAGACTCCCCGCTGAGCGGGGAGCTCCATGCAGAGCTAGATCCCACGACCCTGAGATCCTGGCCTGAGCCGAAATCAAGAGTCCGACACTTAACCAACTGAGCCACCCAGGTGCCCCTATTTGCTCCATTTTTGAGACAAGAAAATGGAGACCAGGTTTAAACCACTTGCCCGGAGCCCATGGTTGTAAGCGGAGAAAGCAGCATCCAACCCAGGACAGCCTGACCCCAAAACACTGTCAGCTGTGCCATGCTCAGAGAATGACGCCCTGCTAGCAATTTATGCACGTGGAGTCCTCCTACCTGCTGGGTCCACCTGCGTTGCCTCCTGTGACTTCACAAGTTCAACCCATTTCACAGATGAGGTAAAGGTGGAAGTGAGAGGCTACACACATAACTTGCTGGAGGTTACAAAACTTACTGGGATCTGAACTCAGCGCTGGGACCCAAAAGCAGCACCACAGTATGGCCACCTGGGTGGTCTCTCCTTGCCCCGTCCCTCCCACACCAATCAGATACCAGTGGTTCTCAGTCCCAGGAGGGTCATGCCTCCCAGGGGACAGGGGGAAAGGAGAGGTGCCCCTGGCATCTAGTGGGTAGAGGCCAGGGATGCTGCTCAACATCCTACAGGACAGGGAACAGACCCCTCCACAACGAATTATCCAGCCCAAATGTCAATAGTGCCCAGGTTGAGAAACTGAGATGACCCAACTTAGAACAGCATGGCAGCAGGCAGGCACACGCGCACACATGCGCACTGCAGCGTCCAGGCCTGCACTCCCATCCCCCATGGGATTCCGAACAGATCCACGGGAAAAGAGGGGGTGGGGAAAAAAAAAGGCAAGCCCCACCCACAAATGTACCACAGTCACCATTAACGTCATATTTATTGTTATTTAGCTGCTCAGGAAAACATATACAGGTATATACAATATGCATGAATACAGAAGACTGCACTTTACATATTTTTTTAAAAAAGAAAGAAAAAATAACACTCAATTTCATGAGCTATTGTCACAGTCTTCCAACCAAGCATTTCAGAAATGAATTTCTTTTAAGAGTCAAAAAAGATTACAGGATTGCCTAACACACAGCAGAGTTAAGATTTTATATTTTACATGTGCAATAACGTTTTCGTTTTCTTTCCCAAAAAAAGTTTGCTATGCAGTACCGATTACCAGTGTTTGGAGTCTCGTGGGTTGGGTGTGTTTTTAATTTGCTTTTATTCTTTCCATTAAACCAAATTTAATGAAATAACATCCTTTTGCTTAAGGCTATTTTTAAAGCTGTTCCATTCTGGGGTCATGGGGAGCGAGAAAGTTTAAAACTTCAGGGGTTTCCGACGTTGCTAGGGCCACGAGCTGATGGCCAGGTGCTAATGAACTCAACGCAGGGAAAGTCAAAGACGGAAGTCAAGACGCTTGGCTCCCCGGCCTTAAGCAATGAAGGAGAAATCATTCCTGTTTAAAAAATAAAGTGATAAAGCTCTCAAACAGCTGTACATTGCAGAATCGGAGGGGGCATGGAGTTTTGCTCAGACTATGGCTGATTTCTCCTGCAGCCCCTGGCAGGAGGGACATTCTCTTTCTCTTTCCTCTGGTGGCAGAACTCGGGGACTGAGTCAGTTCACACCTTCCCACTGCTGATCAGTTCACACCACCTGCTCTTCTGCCTGCCTTCTGCGGGCCCCTGGGGGCCAGGCCCCCGGTCCGATGTCCCCAGCAAGGACCATCCAGACGCGGACCTGAGCCAAAAGGGCCCCTGCAGGAATGAAGAGGGAGGGGAAAGAGCGAGATTTTTCTGGACTCTTCCCCTTTTGCTGAAAAGTTCTTTGAAATAAACAATGTGGGTGTTGGGTGTTGTATGGTGAACCCAAAGTCACTTGCTAAAAAAAAAAACAAAAAAAAACAAAAGCCAGGTCTAGAAACTCTGGGTACCTGGGGACAGAGGGGAGGGGGCACCAAGCTCAAAACAGCATTTAGTAAGACTTGCTCTATCAAAAAAATAGAAGGAAAATGGGGGAGTTACTGATTTGGGTGAAGGGCTATCAGTCACTTCTTGTCTGACCCATCCTGGAATCTGTGTGCCCCTCACGACCCCCCTCCAAGTCATATGAGCCTTTTGTAGGCATGCACAGCACCCAAAGGTGCCCGCCCCAACACTGGGCCTCTGACACCTGCCACTCTGGGTCCTCGACGGGGCTCCAGGTGCCCTGCTCGCTGCTGTCTGTTCACCTGGCTGCCCCCCATCTCTGCTCAAGGAGATTATTCCTTGGTAAGGCGCATGAGACATGGCTCTAGTTTTGCAAGAGGGTGAGATTAAATCAAAAGGTGTGTGGGGGGGTATTCTGGGGTTAAAGAAAAAGGCCCAAGCATCAAAGTCATTGATTATGTTCCTTGTTTCCTTCCCATAGCCCCCAAGAGCCTGCCAACCCCTGCAAAGAAATACACCCAGGTGCAGAGAAGGGGAGCTTGGCAGGCTGAGCCTGGGGGCTCCTTCCCTGAGCCCCTGGGAAAGTGCTTGGCAAAAGCCTCGTCCCTCCCAGGGATGGGGGATTGCCCAGGTTGGAGGGGGAGAAATAGATGTGCAGCGGGGACAGAATGGGAGTGGTCGGGAAGATACCCGCAGTCCCACCTCCTTCCTCCCGCAAGGCCTGGCTGGGACCGGCTGTGGGCAAAGGTCAAGGGCTGAGAACAGGATCCTCCCCCAACTTGGGCACCCAAGACCCAGCCAGCCTGGCTGCAGCAGGGTGGGAGCCAGGAGCCCCCAGAGACTCTGCAAGCTGGAAGGGCACCATCCCCCATGCACACCAGGGCTGTTTAGCATAGCGTGAAAATTCAGAGCCTGGGCATTTGCACAGAGGCCCAGAAAAGGAGAGAAAACACCACTGTCGAACATTCCGACTCCTTCCCACTGAGCAGGCTGGACACGTCATCGCCTCCATTGCAGAGAGAACAGCTTCCAGCAGAAGACAGAATGGAGCTGAAGGCTGAGCGTGTGTTTGTAGGAACGAAAATATATATCTATTTTCTTAGGAAACAGACAAAACAAAATCCCAGGCGGAATACCTAAGGGGGGTATTAATTGTTTGGCTCCTGCCTGACTGATGACAGTTGGGTGTCAATATATAATATCGTGATGACAATTTGACTTTTGCCCGGCAATATTCCAGAACTACTATTCTCCAGGATTTCCATTTTAATAAGCAGTGAACAAAGCAAAAAGGAAAAAAAAAAAAAAAAGGCTGGGGGTGGGAGGGGGAAGAGGAACGAGAATAAAAGAGAATAAAAAAGAAAGTAACTCTTGTCTTATTACAAAATAACAATGCTCGGACATACAGCAGCATGAAAACAAAACAAGGAAAGAGGTCATCTAAAAAAACGTATGCCAAGATTACAGAAAAACGGGAATTCTCTAGCAGGAAAAAGGCTGAAGCAAAAGTTTGCTAACTGCAGAAGGGTTAACACTGGTAACATACTGTGGCAGACGAGTTTTCTTTTTTAAAAAAATTTTTTGAGGTTTTTTTTTCTTCCCCTTTAAATTAACCCTTTCCGGTCCATATGCCACTAAGCAGGTACCAACCTAGAAAAAAAATCATCCACTCAGCAATAGTGGCCCTTTCAAATTAATGGGGGGGGGGGGATTGGGGAGCACGGGGCAGGGGTGGGGGGAAGAGAAGGGCCTGGTGTGGGAGGGGCATTTCTTGTCAATTCAAGTTAGGGCAGCCACGAATGTCCCGAATCTGTTGGAAATGTCGGAGTGCAGGGACCGCCAGGTGGGCACGGAGGCTCGGGCCTTGGCATCGCCCACGTCATCTGTGCAGTGGACGGACAGGCACTGCAAGTGGCTCCCCGGCTGGGTTGCTGAGGCCTTATTTGCAGGGAGGTCGTGGGCTGTGGAGAAAAAAAGGAAGAAATGTTAGTGGCAGGCTCAGCTCTTTGGGAGGCCCTAAGGGGGCGGAGTGAGAGAGGTAAGGGAAGAGAGGCACCGTCCACTCCCTGTTTTCATGGCTGAAGACGGTGTGAGGAGATCTAGAGATGTTTGGTTCAAATGCCCCTGCTGTTACTCTGATGTGGCTGTGAGACCTCAGCCAAGGGTAGGACTCGATGTCAGGTTCTCCCCACTCAGGAAATGAGAGAATTGGGCAGGGTTGGCCCATCTCTGATGGACTAGAGTTCCCAAAAGATTGACTGGACATGAAATAAGTTGGGAAGGCTTCCTGGAGGAGGGGCATCTAAATTGGGCTTTGAGGCATATGTAGGAGTTCGCCAGAAGCAGTTAAAGGTAGAGGGGAGGATTGTCTGGGTCTAGAACACAGCCCTTTCTCTTGTCATCCTCTGGACATTTGCTAGAGGCCTACTGTGTGCTGGGGACTTCCTGAAACAGTACCACACTGCTCAGACCAGTAATGATGAAGAGTCCAGACCCTCCAACAGACCAGTGCCCTTTGCCCATCCCCAGCTGCTTTATGAAGGGCCTTACAGTGATGGGGGTGAGGGAGTCTATTCCTCCCCTACACCCTCAATGAAAATTACTTCCATTTCCTTCTCACACAGTCACACAGGCCCAGAAACACCACAGATCATAGTGATGCCTGAGTTAGACAGACTTGCGGGGAAAGAAAGTCTGACAACCACTCACACCTTAGTATGAATTACACTCAAAGAGAGGAAGAGCTGGGAGTTCTGAGGCAGAGAAGAAATGGAATAGTCATTTCGGGGGGCTGCTAGTTCACTGCTGCCAAGCGACCAATGGTTCTGTTCTCAGACCTACTATATGTCCATGAGTATTCTCATCATTCAGTGAGATGAGACTGAAGCCTGACTCAGAGAGGAGAGGCAACCTGCCCAAGGTCACACAGCCAGGAAGGGGCAGAATTGGGCTTGAACATGGGTAAATTTCTGACTCCAAAGAAGTGAGAAAAGCTGGAATTGGGGGTGGAGGACCAGCTCCGGCTGACGGAGCACACCCAGATACTGAACTCCATGACTGGCCCGCCCTCCTCAGCGGGGCCCTGTGCCAGGCAGGAGCCACCCCACCCATCCCGCCCTCTGGGATTAGGGGGGAGGCCTCCCCTGGGAGCTGAGCCACAGCCTGCAGAGAAAATCCTCCCAGAGGATGGGCCAGGCCATGACTAACTGGGCTCCCACCCTGGAGCGCCAGAGACCCCCAGCTTAGGACCTGCATGCCGGGAGCAGCTGGGGCCGGGGCGGGGTAAGGGGGTGGAGATTGTCTCCCTTGCTCCTTCCCTCATTCATCCAATTAATAAGCCCTTACTGAGTCCCTACTATGTGCCAGGCGTGGCTTTAGCCTTCAGATCCAGCCAGAAATAAGGCAGACGCCATCGTCATCCTCCTCCGGGAGCTGACGGTGAAGCCAGGAGAGAGCATCATGGTAGTCATTTGGAGTCACAGATGCCATGGGGCTTGAATCCCAATCCCAGCCCCACCACTGTGTGGCAAGGGGTCTGCCACCCTCCCTCTCTCCGAGCCTTAGTTCCTCATTGCTGAAGTGGGGGGAACGTCCTCTCCCTCAGGGCTTGTAATGGCCTGACAGACAGAGAAATCCCCCGACAGGGCTGCTAGCATAGTCTCTGGGGAAGTCAGGAGGTGAGGGGTCCTTGCAGCCATCTAGAGGTCCCCAAGCCTCATCCCCTCCTTGGGACTGGCCAGGTGGGCACATTCCTGCCCATGAGACTGGAGTCTATGCTCCCATTTCACAGAAGGGAAGGCTAAGGTCCTGAGCTCCAGGTTTCAAAGCTGGTTAGCAGCGGTGGCGCTACTCAGGGCCTCAGAATTCAGCCCAGGGGTACCTGCGAAGGTACCCCAGGAAGCTAGGGGCCTCAGATTAGCCCCCACACCTCTGCTCTTGAGCCCAGTCTCGCCTTGCTCCCAGGGATGCCCTACTCCCTAATCCCCCCAGAAGGAATCCTGTCCCAAGCATTGTGAGATCTGGATCGGGGGAGGGGAGCATCTGCCACAGAGAGAGAGAGAGAGAGAGAGAGAGAGAGAGAATTCTGAAAAGGGTTCCTTACTTCACTTTACACCCATTATCTCAAGGAGCTGACTCAGCAAATGCTTGTGCCCATTTTACAGATAGGAAACCGAGGTCCCTTGCCAAAGTCTACACAGCTAAAGACAGACAAGACCCAGGCCCAAGCTCCTGACAGCTGGCTCCCTTGCTCTATGACCTCAGCACCAGGAAGGCGAAGGAAAGTCGGCATTCCCCGAGTTCTGTGCGCAGACGGAGGAGGCCTGTGGTCCCTTCTGGGAGCTGCGTTGGCTAAGGGATGTTTCCACGCTGACCCAAATGGCCACATGTCCTCAAGATGCTGTATTCCCAAGTTATAGACGGCTCCGAAGCATGCCGTGTGCCAACCCTACACACAGCTGCTTTTCTTACTTGGGGAGGATTTAATGAGGGTGTGCCAGGTACGCAGCTGAACATGTCCATGTGTTACCTCATTCCGTCCCCCCGTAAGCCCAGCAGCTGGGTGCCCCTTCTCCCTACCTTAGAAGGGGCACCTGGGGCTCAGAGAGGGTGAGGGGCTTGCCCAACATCACAGAGCATGGGCGCAGGATTCCCCAGCCTCTGCCTGGGACGAACAAGAGAGTCTGGTATCCACGGGGAGTATTTTTAAGAGAGAATATTATTCTTCAGTTCTTGACAACCCAAGCATGACCAAACTCATCCTCCCGCCAGATTCATTCCAGCCGGGGGTGGGGGGACCCAACATGCCCTAGGACCGCAGCTTCCACATACACATACACACACACACACACACACACACACACACACACACCGCCACTGCTGACTGCCTACGAGTAAATCAGTCCCACAGAAGCCCGCCTCAAGTCAGGGCCTGCCCCTGCTCGAGAGAAGCCCTCAGTCCATGCTCCTCGGCAGTGGCAGGCATGCCAGCCCCCCCACTCCAGGACCCAGAGATAAAACCACCCCTGGCCGAGCTCCCAGGACTGGGGGGAGACCCTGGAGTTATTCAGTGCCCCACGGACACCGATGCAGACTGCCACATTTTCCACTTGTTAGCAACCAGCCTCCCCCATCAGACTGTGGTGCCACAGCACCCCCCACACAGGAGGCGCTCAGCTGGGGCCTGTGGGCTGTGGAGTGACCCTCATCCCTATTTGACAGATGGGAAGACTGAGGCCCTGGGGGGGGGCAGGGAACTGTCCAAGGGTCACCCAGGGCCAGGCCAGCAGTTTGGACCGGCCGTCTCCTTTGAGTCCGGGATTCCCCGTGCACTGGGCTGAGGTCGGATCTCGAACCCCCCATACCATACCATCTGCAACTTGGGGATGTGAGCAGCTTGGGGGGGGCCACACAAGAGAAAGAAGAGATGACACAGTGCATGTGGGGGGATCAGTCCTCGAGGCAGGGGTGTCATCAACTCAAAACTTATCACCCCAAATGGGCCTCACCCTGTGCAGATAGCACAGCAGATGAGGGAGGGCCTTCCGGTTCCCGGGACCCGATGTCACGCCCGCCCAGCAAGGAAGGGCTGTGGGGACAGTTTTTAAAGGACAGTCCCCTCCAGGCCAGAACAGACCGCCTCAGTCCCCATGTGCAAGGGCAGAACCTGGAGTGGAGAAGCCCGGCTCTTCCTCCCCATCCTTCACGTGCACAGACAAGTCCTGGCTGATCTATCCGGCCCTTCCCCAGCACCCCCTGCCTTCATAGCACAGAACGCGAGCCACGCGGTCATTTCTGCCACCAACTTGGTACCACGGCATGGAGGTGCCCGCTGCCTCCTGCTTTCCCCGCGGTGACCCTGAGACCCTCATCGGATCGATCCCCAGCAGGGACGGTGGGTGCCATGAAGGGAAGGAGAGGACCTCGAGCCGGTGCCAAGCACGACTAACAAGTGGGATGCCATTTCTCCTCCTGGGCTCAACCATGACAGCGCCTACCCTTTGCAGAGCACGGGGCTTTGGCGAACATCACTTCGGCTCCCAGAACCTCGGCCCTAGAAAATGGGGAAAATAATAGGACTGGCCGTCATGGAGGCAGCGATGAGGATTAAATGAAATGATCCATGTAAAAGGCTTAGCATGCTGCCCAGCCCAGAGCAGACTCCCGCCCAACGGCGCCGGGTGCGGCCCCGCGTGCTCGCTGACCCGCCTGCCGGGTGCGAGCGGGGACCCGCGGGGCCGGCCGGGAGGGCCCAGCCACCCTTTTGCCAACCACGACCGAGCGGGGTGAAGGGAGAAGGGGACAGACATGCGTCTGTTGACCTGGGGACACCTTGTGGTTCGTTTCAATTCTGGAGATGCCGCCCACGGAGGGGGCCGAGTGTTCTTTCTTTCTTGAAGTCAGCAAAACAGACCTTGTCACCACCTTGCTCTGTACTCAGTGTCCCCAGGGTTGCATTCCAATTTGGGTGAGTCAGGAGTCATGAGCTTGATGGGGGCAGTCGCCACCCCCTCCCCCCAAGGCAGGGCTTGGTGGGACCGGCAAGACCACATGGCTCTGTCCTTAAACCTTCAGAAAGAGGACTTCTCTGTCCACACCTCCCACCCCACCCCCGCCACCGCCCACCATAGGGAAGGCCGGAGAGACTGGGCTGTGGGGGTCAGGGTGGCCTCCAACTAGGGCCCAGATCAAAGGCTCCTTGGCTGCTCATGCAGGGTGGGACCTGGGCAAGGTGTTAATCTGGACTGCAAAATGGGAACCAAGTTCACAGGCTTCTGGGAGGATTAATCAAGGTAACACATGGGTAAAGACTTTAGCACATGATGCGCCCCCCAAAAAGGTTAGCTGCTCTTAGGGTTATTACACTCACTGGGCTTCCACAGCCCGGGGCCTTGGAGGCAGTCAGAGCTAATACTGCCACATGCCAGTAGAGGACACTGGCCACAGGATAGTCTCTTCCTCT